GATGATGATGTTATGAGAATAAATTCTTTTTGTCTTCACTAGAGACACTAGTGTAGTTTTAAGTCACTCGGTGGATATTAGTAGTTGCGGCCTGCTCTGCCCCTCAGTCTTTCCGTATCGTGGGTGGAAGTGAGATTTCTATCGCCAAGTTCCCCTCGATCGTTGCGGTTGAATACCTTGGAATTTGGACTGGGACCTTGGTGCTTACTCTTGAAACCAATCTATATGTCAATGCAATTTCAATCCAATAAAATCTCAATAATTATACAATGTCAAGACTATGCAACCTCTATCGTAGCTGTTAAAATAACATTTAGAGTGCTGAAAATAAAGCCAAACTCAATATAATTTTTTCGTCCGGGTATAATAATTATCTTCTGGCAAATTTTGGATTTATTATTTCTATAGTATAAATATAAGCTTATTTCTCCAAGATTCTGGAGGCCGGAGACCTGACTTTATTACCGTGAGACTACCATGGATCCATCTATCGGATAATCATCCGATAAAGAGATTATCAAGTGTATATCATCCGCATTATGCGTGATGCCACTGCCATCTACTCCATTATCTTGTTGTTACAAAAAGAGAGCTTCAAATCCAACTCCCTTGCAGATCACAAACAGTGAATGTGTGACAACTATGGAGCCAGACACTTAGTAATGCGGGTCAAACGATAAGCCTCTGTATAGAGGGGTGATTCTATGACTAATTAGAGCATACTCGTGCAATTTAGCCACTAGATAAAGGATTGTAGCTAATTTTGAAACATGTGATTAAGAAAAACCAAAAATATCAATAACACTTTTACCAGGGCCAAAAATTCGATTAGCAGTGGCGAGTTTGAATTCGTTAACATTCGAAAAATGATGTCGGTTGGTTGAAAGAGTAAAGACAATAGTATTTCTAATCTTAAACACAATTTAGGTAGCACGGTAGATAACGATAATCTAAATCACTTTTATTAGGGTTTTGACAGATTAATATAAATATGGGCCAGGATTAGTCTTACAGTAGTCTACGATTCAAACACAAACATGGCAGTACTGGCTCTCCTGACCATCGCCCTTTTTGCAGGTAAATCAATTCATATTTCAATTAGTGCGTATATAATTGCGTACAATAAAGTTTCTGCCTTCGCTAGAGGCGCTACTGAAGTTTGAAGTCACTGAGTGGACTTTGAATCTAACCATTGCGTGATCAAGTGTAAAGTTTCTAGAAAACAATAATTTGATTACCGGCTGATAGATCAACAGATCGTTCACAAGAGGCAATGAATAAAAAAAAGCATCGGGCATCAAGCTAATGAAGAAAAAGGTGCAATAAGTAAAAATTTCTACTCTTAGGCAAAAATATCTTTAATTCCTAACCTAAAATGAGACAAGAGAGATCATGACCACAAAGTTCAAATTTCTTAAATTCTCAAAAGAAAGCGATTGTAAAAATTATTATTGGAAAGGTTACTTCTTTCTTCACTTCCAGGTGCGGCCTACTCCGCACCTCAGGCTTCCCGTATCGTGGGTGGAACTGAGACGTCCATTGACAAGTTCCCCTCCATCGTTGCGGTTGAATTCCTTGGAATCTGGAGTGGTGTCTGGGGTCAGTCTTGTGCTGCCAACATTTTGACTACTCGTTACGTTTTGTCTGCTGCACACTGTTTCGACGGGATGTAAGTGTTTACAGTAGAGTAATGAAATGCTTGCTATTTATTCCAATAACCAGATATCATCACATGTATGTATGTTTGTTCTAATTACAGTTTTGATTTAAGCCTTTGACTGCCGACAGAAAACTGTTGAGGGTAAATCCTCCGCTAGCGTGGCCCATATCTTGTCCCCCATGCGTGTTTATTTTAAAGGTTTGTGCTACGGAAAGTATACAAATAAAGTGTTAATTTTCAGCTTCTACAGCCCAAGTTACCGTCGTATCAGAGCTGGTTCCTCCTACCGTAACACGGGTGGTATTGTGGCTTACGTGGATGTCGAGTTCAACCACCCCAGCTACGGTTTGAACGGTTACGATGGTGACATCTCAGTCATTCGTCTGCGCAGTCCCTTGTCGTACAGCCCCGTCGTCGAACAGGCCACCCTTGCTCCCCAAGGATTCAAGATCCCTGACAACTTGCCTGTTGTCCACGCTGGATGGGGTGCAATCTCGGTAATCCAAATTCATCCATTTTTCCTTTCTAAGTTTATTTATTTTTTAATATGAGTTAATGTTTATATTAAAAATTAGATACTGAAATTCGTAATAATTTATAGTTATAATTGACTGCTTAGCAAACTCATAGTTATTATACTCGTTTGATGAATTTTATCAAAGGAACCGAAAGATTTATTCGAGTTTATGGGATTAAATTACTAATCCATAGTGATAAAGGTTGTTTTATTCAAACGTGCTACTTATGGATTGTATGACTATTTTGATAGATATATTTTAACGTATCTTGATACCTTATCGGCTAAAGAAATATCTGATCATAGAATTCAGTCCTTTATTGCCTGGTACCTTCAATATGACTTACCAAAACCATCTGGGACATTGTCCTGACATTGTAATATTTAATTCTTATTTCTGTTTTTAGCAAGGAGGACCTGCATCTTCCGTGCTCTTGGAGACCACAATCTTCACCATCAATAATGAGCTCTGCGCCGCCCGCTACCTGACTTTGCCCAGACCTCTGGTTGTTACTGAGAACATGATCTGCGCTGGTATTCCTGACATCGGTGGCAAGGACGCCTGCCAGGGTGATTCTGGTGGTCCTCTCTACTATACCCACATCCTCGTCGGTGTCGTGTCTTGGGGTCATGGCTGCGCTAACGAGACCTTCCCCGGAGTCAGCACTGCTGTAAGCTCCTACACCAACTGGATCGCGGCTTCTGTCAACTAAATCTACGGCGTCTCTTTTAGTCAATAAATTAAGTATTTGAACGTTTTTAAAGTCATTTTCTTGATTTTCCCCCTCCGTGAGATTATAGTTTTAATATCTCCGCCAAACTTTCTACTTGCATTGCATTTTGACGCCAATGCAGTGAACTCGACATCAAGTTGAGAATTTAATGAGATTATTAGACGAAGTACATTCATTATTTCATTTTGTGAAAATATTGATATCTTAAGCACAAAGAAGTAAGCAAGGAATAGTAGACAACAATAAAAATACAAATTAGAACTTGGTCATTAAAGAGTATTGCATTTTTTTATAAAAGCTATTATGAAATTTAAGATGTTTAGAAAAGCAGAGACATAAAAATACTCTTATTTCTCGTGCCATACCCTGTCAAATATCGAGGGAGACTGCCAATGCCTCTCCGTGCCCCTCGATGGCCTCGCTCCATATGTGAGTGGCATACGCATGAAGGTCCCCAGTAGATCTGTTACGTCGAAACCCATATTGCCGATCGCTGAGGAGATCGTTACCTTCAAGGTATGCCAGGAAGGAGTCTATTGATAATTACATGTTCCATGCTCTTGTAGAGTATGGAACTTGTAGAAAGGCGAAACTTTCTTTGGATTCTGGTCTAGTGCCGGTTGCATGGGAGCTAGCCAACATACAGTCTGTGACGTGTCAGGATTGGAGACAACTCGGGTGCGCAGGTTTTTAGAACCACGGCTGGGATTCCGTAGGAAAACAATAACGACTATAACCAGCGCCATAACAAATGCTAGTTGTGATTTTTATACTTAATAGGAAAGCGTTTGGCTTGTATTAATTCGTCATTGAAATTTTACGTTTACGCAAGGATGATTTTGTTTTAATCTGCATGGTTGGTGCATAGATTGCGGGTAGGTTGTTGCACCATATATTACGGGTTCGATCCTCGCACAGAACCACTCTTTGTATGATTTACAAGTCACAAATGGACGTTTACATATATGTATGGAAAAGTGTTCATAAAGGCATCCACATAAAATAATCATTATAACACCACGCCTTTTATCCCCGAAGGGTTAGGCAGAGGTGCACATTATACCACTGTACAATGTAACACCCACTTTTCAATAGTCACACAAATAAAATACATAATAAT